CATCCGATGGAACATTTATGAAAATGGGTTTTGTTTGATAGCGCAAGGTTATCTGAAAAGATATGTCCTATGAGATCCTATGGAGTTTCACAGTCGGCAAATATTTTCAAACAATACAATTTATCAATGTATCTTTCAACTGAATTAATCCTATCAAATATTATATTATTTCTTCGACTTTCATAGTTTTCTCATAATGTATCACTCTGAAAAAATACAAAACAATATTAAAAATAAAGAAAATTATTACTTGTAAAATAGAAAAAGTTCTATCCTATGGGATTCATGAGAAAAATTGCCTTATTCTACGCACAGCTCTGTTTCACAACCTGTAAGTGTCCGAAATGACAACATATTTCTGCATCTAGAAGCGCTCTTGAATAAATCTCGGTTTCAAAGGTTCCGACTCGGATTTCATCCACTTTAATTGTACGGTTCCGGTTTCGGTTAACAGAATTTGAAAAAGTCGAAATCTAGTTCAGTTTTCCGTTCGATTTTTCTTTTGGAACTGCAAGGCTCTAAATCCACACCCACCGTACTATGTTAGTTGAATATTTATAATAAACTTTTATTAGAATAACTAATATTGTCATATAATAATCCAAACAAAATTTTAAATATCTCTATACTCATCATTTTTTAAATAAATCTTCTTATTAATTCATTCTAAAACTTTATTCATTTTCTTTAGTTTCCAAAGTTCTATATTTTTCTGCTAGTTTTATCCAAAATAAATTGTAATCATTCATTAAACTTCGATCATCATCAGAATTTTTTTCATTAAAATGATTATTGGAAGCAGCACAAGCAAATGGATACTTATTTGAATTAAAAAAATTTTCATTACATTTTGTTTGATAAAGATATTTAACATTAGGAAAAATAGTTAATCTTTGTATATTAAACATTTCTGCTAATAATCCCGTAAAATAAACATCTGATAATGGAAATGGTTTCATATCTGTTTGATATGCATGAAAAAATAATGAACACATTTCGCGAGTCA